GAAGTCACCGATAATGATGGTTCGCGATAACATTAACGATACATAAAACTTTTAATTTGAGCTTTTTAGACTTTGATCCATAAAAAATGATAAGTTGTTTAATAATGATGATAGTCGAAGAAAATCGTCAAAGTGATGACGATGACAATATACCACGTTAGGGTTCATGTTTAAGAGAGAAACAAACATTCTTTATAAGATGAAATGAGGCCTCCAACTTATGTGTTTTAAGTAAGTGAAACTAGTCTCATTCCCCAGTGCTAAGAACTTTGATCTCCAGGATTGAATCGATCTCTAGGGGCAGATGCAAATAGGAGTGAGAGTAAATGAGTGTTCATCTTGAAATTTGAATTTTTATTTCGATTAATTATCGATTTTTTTGATTGTGTCCACCTTAAAATTTTATTGGTGCTTACCTTCAAATAAAAATTTTATGTAATCAATATATGTGTTACCCCTAAAAAAATATTTTTAGATACATCATTAAAACTCCATGATAAATTCTGCACGATTTTGTGATGTTAATCTTGGAATAACACTAACCATTTAGAACTAGGGATGGGTATGGGTCGGGTTTGGGTCAACCCGACCCGACTCAAAAAAGTTACATCCTTAACCCGACTAAACCCGACTCGAAATATATATACCCTCCACTCGACCCGACCCGAAATAATAATAAAATATCATTTTTATTCCATAAAAATAGTGATTTAATTGAAAAAATAATATATAGAGTGGTATTATTGCAATTATTTATAAATATATAAGGTAAAATTATTTTTTTCCAGGTCGGGTCGGATATTTTTTACCCTAAACCCGAATATTGCATTTAAAAAACTCGAACCGAACCCGATTTTTTTAAAAAAACCCGACCCGGTTGAGTCAGATCAGATCGAAACCCGTCGAATTCAGGTCCATGTCGATCCCTATTTAGAACCCAATTCTACAAACTAGACATTTTGGTTCTTGGAAGGCTTGAATTCCCGTTAGGAGTACTTCAACTTACTAGAAGTGAGGTAAAGAGCAATATTGTTATGTTGGACTTCAAATGTGTAGGAGGAAGATGTGTTTCTTTGGAACCAAGTTAACCGACTCGATACATCCGGTCTTTGTCCTTAAGAGTACGTTTGGTTCACGGAATGTAAGATTACCAGTGAGAATAAAAGATTACCATGGAATGAGATTACTGAGAATGTTGTATTTTGTGTTTGATTGGTTTAGCAGGAATGTAATATTACCGTGTTTGGTTAAAGGAATAAAAGATTATTGGAATGTATATTTGACCAAATCGTCCTTATTATATATATATATTTTTAACAAGTTCAAAAATATTTATATATTTTATTTAAAAAAATTTAAATTCATAAAATTTATATATATATATATATATATATATAATTGAAAATATAAAAAGGTTTAATGAAAGGGTAAAATTTTATTTTAACCCCTGAACTTCATATAAAATTTTAATTATAGATTTTTTTCGTAAATCTAAAATAATTTAAGGATAAATTTGTAATTTAACATTCGTAGAATTTTTATTATTCAATGACAGAAGAAGAATATTTTTGAAAGAAATTTTTTTAAGGGCATTTTAGTCTAAAACACCGGTAATCCAACAATACCTAAGGGAATGGAGGTAATGACATTCCCGGTAATATACCCCAAAAAATTCACTATTGGTAATAAAACATTACCGGTAATGAGATTCCCGACCAACAAAACGAGGGAATGTGGATTCCATTCCAATAGGAATCCCACATTCCCCGAACCAAACAGAAAGGATTTCATCAGTTGGGAAATTGAAACTCTTCCATTTTATATTTTTATTAATATTAAATTTATTATGAGCTCTATTATTTAATATCTATTAATTAAATCTAAACAATATACATATTTACATGAAATAATCATGTCAATTTAAAATACGAACCAAACTATCTTAATGGCTAAAAAGATGGTTGTTATCCTTAGAGGTCTCATATTCGAGCACTAATGACCGTAAGAGTGTTGAACTTTTATTGTTAAATTGTTAAGAATCTTTAAAATAGATTCTACCTTATAATCTATATATATAGATGATAATATATATATATATATATAGATGATAATATATATATATATAGATGATAAAATATAAATATAGAAGTTTATTAATAACCATTAAACGCCATACTAATATAATAATATTCGCATATATCATATCATTATTATTGACATCTTCTTCTTTTTTTTCTCTAAGTTGTGAGTTCAATACCTATTAGGAATAAAAGTGTCATTCCTCTCCTATAAATAAGAATTGTTAAAAAAAATAAAGTAATATGAAGTCATTTACATGTTCATAATATATCTTGCAACATATGTAATTGTTTGATGCAATAGTAAAATATATTATTTTTTAAACATAAAATTTATATTTAAATCATTAAAATAATATTATTAGAATAAATAATTCCAAAACATAAAATATATTAAAAAATAATGCATCTTTTGAAGATGATGTTTGCTAACTCATCTCTCATTAATGGGGATGATTAGATTCTCCATTATTGGAATTAAAATTAGGTAGTCGAAACAATTATATTATTTAAAACTCAAATCACTATCCTTGCCCCCATCACTTTGTGTTTCGCTTCTCTTATTAGTTGTAGCCTTGTAGGGTTGCACCATCTTCGTATTGGAAAGCTTGTTTGCCTATTCATACGGATGAATGTATATTTTAAATTAAGAGTATAAACTTTTTTTAAAAATATATTAAAATATTAAATATATGAAATTATAAAATTTAAGAGAATATAAAATTATATTATTAATATAAAATATAAAAAAATTATATAAATTATATGTGAATTTAAAATTTTTAAGAGATACGACTGTCCTAAATACTCTATCGATCTATTTTGAACCGATATTTTATGGGTGCATATGGAAGCAAAGAAACGTGGAAATCCTACTACGTAAAACATAGAAACAAGGTGTCATGTGGTGCAGACATTGATGTTGAAACCCTAATTTGGCCTGAATATATATTTTTAAAGAGTTTTAACGTGTGAAGTCACACACAATTGTTGTCGTCGTCGTGGCCGAAATGATTGGTTATGTCTATTATTCTTTAACAATTGATTCCCTCCCATGCACCTGTCCCGACTTCTGAACCAGATTCATTTCATAAAGCCGAGGCTTTGGTTTCTCAGCTTTGTAAATGGATTCAACCAAATTACTCTGTTTAATAATTAGATGATAAGGTTTTTGTTGCCTTAACGATAAGATTCAATCCTTGTAATCTCAGTTTTATTATATGTTAGTGTTGTACTATTCAATTTCTTTTTATTAAAAAACATAAAATATTTAAATTATAATAAAGATTTACGATTATAACTATAAGCTAAACGTATAATAAAGACATTTTTCTATAATTACTAACCCAGGAAAATTAGTCACTTAATATCATAAAAGGATCATACAAGAAAATGGTTAAAAACATAACCAAATAAACTCGAACAAAAGGTAGATATAAATGGATCCGACTATATCGGCAAACAAACCACAAAAGACGATCTAGCTATTGAAAAACTATTGACAAACCGTAAATCAGATTCAAGCTACGTGAAAAGACTATATGCAAACGCAAATCATGTATCTAAATCCAATCCGAGAGTCAAAAGCTTTAATAAGCACCATCTTGATCAGTTGTAGCGATGTTAAAACTAACCCTGAGAAAAAAGATAAATGAAATCGGAGAATGTTTGACGTGCTTTGTTGTTGTGGTGGTGGTGCTTGGGTGAACTGGTTTTAGTTGTTTTCTACCTAGCAGAGAAAAAAAAACAGTCAAACGACTGAAAATATATTATAAAGACAGAGTTATTAAAAAGTAAAATAAATAAATAAATATATGCTATAATAAAATAAAAGAAAAATAATGAATACCGATGGTTAACGATCAACACCAAGGCTGATGTCATCACCGATCACAAAAATGAAAAAAAAAACGTAAACGGAAAGAAAGAAAATTAGAGCATACCCTTAGATGAACACTTAAAATAAAAGTTAAAATGAAAGATCTATAATGACGAACAAAAAAAATCAAGTCTGTGTGAAATTTTATTTTTCTCTTTAAACGTTGATAAAGAATAAAAAATTCAATTACAATAAAAGAAAATTTATATGCAAATGTACTTTACCTGATTTTTTAAATCAATTTATTTATATTTGTTTGTGATGCAGTAACGGTAATTTCTGAATTTAAAATTAACCCCCTAACAAATCAACATTTTATTCTCCCCTTAATCTAAAATTTCTTACCAGGTCCATAGTTAAAGGTCTGATTTTCAGTTTTAACTTTGTTTATTGGTTAAAGACAACATTTATGAATAACAAAAAAAGGTTTAGTTCTGCCTCCGCTCCCTGTACTCTTTGAAAATTTAAAATTTAGCTACTCCTACTTGATTCACATGCTCGGTATACTATGAGGGGGTATCAACTAGGGATGGGTATAGGTTGGGTTTCGGCCACCGACTCGATAAGATGTGAAAAATATATACTTTCTACTTGAACTCAACCCGAATTTTTGAGATAAAATCCAAAATTGATCCGATCCGACCCAAAATAATAGTAAAAATATTATTTTTATTCAATAAAAATAGTGATTTAATTAAAAATAATAATATATAAAGAGATATTATTATAATTATTTCTAAATATATTAATAAATAAACCACAATAAAATATCTGAAAAAGAACGTCGAAAAGTCCAAAACTTACGGGAACTACGACAAACTTAGACCCGGGTAAAAGGCATCATTTATGCCATCTGAATAAACGAACGGCTAATTTAAACCCAAGGTCATAATTGTAATATAATGGTAAAAACAGAGGCATTTTTATAATATTTTTCGTCCCAAAAACAAACTAACATAACAGCTCGAAAGTCCACGTCAGCAGAGACTCTCGTTCTTCTCCTTTCTCCGCCTATATAAAGTTTTCCCTCTCATTCCTTTCCTTCCAGAAATAGACACTAGAGATCGCAAAGGCGAAAACTAACGATGCACGGTTTTATCATTCAATCGAGGAGGGTATTATCGGAAGCCAAATATTATCCACGGTGGTCGCAACTAGCTCGACGCTGCTTCTCTCAGGTGGCTCATAAGACGGAGCTCGATAAAAACAATGTCATTTCGGTTCCTAAATTGCCTCCCTTCGATTACTCTCCGACTCCTTACACCGGTCCCTCCGCCGCCGATATCCTTTCCAAACGCAAGGAGTATCTCAGCCCTTCCATGTTTTACTTTTACGACAAACGGCCGGTGAGTTTTTTTATTTTTAACATTTTGAGATACAAAAGAAATTAAATGAATTTTTTTCATAGAAGCGATAATCTTGACGTTCGATATACTGTTAAGTATAGTGTAATTCGTTGAACTATGACGTTTGTTTGAGTAGAATTGAACTGTTCTTTCGAATTGCAATGATGTTTTTCTATGCAAATCATGTTTTTCATGAATTTTGATTTGAAGATTTTATTAATTAACGATCTAACAATAATTCAAAAGATCATTATTCAATACTGCACTTATTTAGATCTGTTTGGTTGCTTCTCAGATTCATTGAACTGTATGAAGTAAATATAGTTGATTATTTGTCAATCATTTAAATTTCTTGTTCTTTTAGGTGAATATGGTTGATGGGAGGATGCAGTATTTGTTCGATGAGGACGGGCGAAGGTATCTAGACGCATTCGGAGGGATCGCCACAGTGAGTTGCGGCCACTGCCATCCCGATGTGGTGGACGCAATCGTAAACCAAACAAAGCGCTTGCAACACTCCACGATCCTTTACCTCAATAGTGCCATCGCTGATTTCGCTGAAGCCCTTGCCAATAAGTTGCCCGGCAATCTCAAGGTCATTACTGTATAAATGAATGAACTTGTAGTTTACGTAATTAAGGATTTTTCACTTTTTATTTGTCGTTGATTATAATAATTGAGGTTTACAGTTTGGATTTAAATCGATCTCTCTTTTCTATTTTTCTTTTTTGTTGTTATATTAATGTTTCTGTTTTTGTGTGTGTATGTGTGGCTGTGCAGGTGGTATTCTTTACAAATTCAGGGACAGAAGCAAACGAGTTGGCAATGATGATAGCGAGACTGTATACTGGTTGCCATGACATAATATCGTTGAGGAACGCTTATCACGGGAATGCAGCCGGAACCATGGGAGCCACTGCCCAAAGTAACTGGAAGTTCAATGTTATACAGGTATATACGTTTCACCCTTTTTATTGTATTTTTTTTCTTGAAGTTTGGTGGTATCGTTTTCGTTCCTTGTGCATCATTTAGGCCGCTGGAGATGAAATGACAACAATGGTATATTATTGATGATTATGACCTGATGATGCTACGTGAATCTTATTTTATTATTGCCTTATGAGTCAGACCCAACACGATTATCAATTGTGGGAAACTATCTACACCCTGTTTAAATTTGTCACTGCTACACGTGATTATGATTCATAAGCATTAGTATGCCTAACTCATAAGCATCTTCATCAGAGTGGAGTTCATCATGCCGTAAACCCGGATCCATACCGAGGTGTCTTTGGATCCGAAGGCGAGAAGTATGCAAAAGATGTCCAAGATCTTATCCAGTTTGGAACATCTGGAAACATTGCTGGTTTTATTTCTGAAGCCATACAGGTAATCACCACCAGTGTTCACCATCTCCTTCGATCTTCCATTTCTTGTTATCAACTTTTCATTCTCTCCTAGTGAACACCACATAAACATTCCTTCCATGCTTTCATTGACAGGGAGTTGGTGGGATCATAGAATTGGCCCCAGGTTACTTGCCTGCTGTTTATAGCACCATAAAGAAAGCTGGAGGTCTTTGCATAGCTGATGAGGTTCAGGCTGGCTTTGCTCGCACAGGGAGCCATTTCTGGGGATTTGAGAACCAGGGAGTCGTTCCCGATATAGTGACAATGGCTAAGGTTAGTTATTATCAAATCCTCACATCATATAATAAATATTAAGTCACATTCCAGCCATTGCTAACATTTTAGTGCAACATATTGAATGATGATTGAGATAAAAATTCAAACCCTCGCCCATCATCTCTTTTCATTTCAAGTGCTAGAGAGTAGGTAATTAGCATCATACACTGTAGGTTAGCCTTGTCTTAGAATCTGTTTTCTTTAATTACATGAACAGGGCATTGGCAATGGCATCCCGCTAGGTGCTGTGGTAACCACCCCTGAAATCGCAGAGGTCTTGACACGCAGAAGTTACTTCAATACCTTTGGTGGAAACCCTGTATGTACTGCAGCAGGGTTAGCCGTCCTGAAAGTAATCGAAAAAGAAAAGCTTCAGGAAAATGCACATGTCGTAGGATCACATTTGAAGGAGAGGCTAACTACACTAAAAGATAAATACGATCGTAAGCTTAATTTATAGGTCCACTCTCCTTTCTTGTACGACTTGCATTGCTGATTGGTGCTATGAATGGATGTTTGCAGTTATCGGTGACGTACGGGGAAGAGGATTGATGCTTGGAGTTGAACTTGTCACTGATCACAAGCTCAAAACTCCTGCGAAGCTCGAAACTCTTCATATAATGGACAAACTGAAAGGTTAGGTTTCATCCAAACCCCACACATTCCATGGAATGTACTCATTTTGCATCTAACTAAAGAACTGCGTATCTTAGAAATCGGAGTGTTGGTCGGAAAAGGTGGATTTTACGGAAATGTATTCAGAATTACTCCTCCGCTCTGCTTTACCAAGGAAGATGCAGGTCAGTTGATCATCTTAACTTGGATGTTTTTCATCATAATTTGTGACAAGTTTCATTTATCTGTTTATTTTTTAAATTTTCATAATTTGTTGTTGCAGATTTCCTAGTAGATGCAATGGATTACACCATGGCCAAAATGTAAGCGAAGCTACCTTCAAAGTTTAAATGTATATAGACATATATGTGATTGTGATGATATCACAAGTTGATATAATCAGTGCTGTATTGTAACATCCTTTCTGTAAATGAAAATGATCCATTAATGCGCATAGATTTCTGCTTCTAAAGTTCAATATACTTTGCTACTATGATTTGATAAGACATAAGTGAAGAATTCGTTGCCTCTCCATTAATGAGTCCGTAACTCGGTTGTCTTTTAGTTGAATGAAGTAGTTGCTACAAATATTAAAGATTGACGTGTTAAACTAACTTTCCCCTTTCTCCCTCCCTATCCACATTTGGTGTTGATCTCTCCTACATTTGTAAACCAAAACATGACAACAAAATATGATACGATTAGGAATGGTTATCGTTTCGGTTCAGCCGAGTTTTTTACTCATTTGTACATAATTTAAGAGTAATATTTTTTCATATGTACCAAATTTCATTCGGGTTTAAGAAGGTTTTATTTTACTTTATTTTTAGGTAAAAATCGTACTCGACTCGACTCAAGCCGTCATAAATATGTATAAAAAATTATTTTTATTAAGTAGATATGAACTTAATTAAAAAAATATTGAGGGGTATTATTATAATTATTTCTAAATATATAAAGAATAATTATATTATTATTTCGAGCCGAGTCGGTCATATGTTTTCCACCTAAAAATTAATTCGACCCGACCAATTTTATCTTTCAAAAACTTTGATTCGAACCCTTTTTTTCAAAAAAAAAACTCAACTCTATAATGTTGCATTTAATTGAAACCCATCAAATTCAAGTCAAAATATATCTCTAAATACAATATAAACCTACAAACATGTCAGATTTTAAATAAAACAAATTTTGAACATGTCAATGGTTTATATATAAATTTAGGAATTTATCATAAACAAAATTTGAATCATGTCTAATGAATAAGATAATCTAATGTGAACGTAAAAAGTATTCTAAAAATTCTCTCAACATCCTTATAAATCATATATATGCAACATAACTATCAATAGATACAAAGATCCCAATATATAATTATATTTTTCCAAAATAATTTACGTCCATAATTTTAAAGAGTAAGACCCACCTATATGTATAGAGAAAACAAAACTTGATATCCAAGAATTTCAAATTAAATATACTCAATCGTAAAATAATTTTTAATTATTAGAATTATAATAAAATAAATTATAATTAATAACTAAATTTAATATATATATATATATAATACCTCAAACACAATTATAAACAAAAAAATATACAAACAATAAGAATATATTATGAATTAACAGATCTTCTTTATGTTGGAAATATGGACTGCAAAATCACACAGTTAGCATTGACAAGAAAGGTAAATAATAATTTGAAAAGAAACATATTCATAAACCGTGTCGTGGTAAAACCACTGCCTTAGAAACGAATTCGTTCCGATGTGTGTAATCGCTGCAGTAGGCGGACCGTCCCCCGAGGTTAACACACAGAGAACAACTTTAGAAAACACTTGAAGAGTGAATTCTGAATGTAGAGAGTGAGTTGAGAAGCTGAATTCATCTCTCTATTTATAAGCTAGATATAGGGTTAAAATCGTCCATAAAAAATCATGATTAAAATCTGTTATAACTCCTGAAATTAGATTATGTAACTCCTGATATTAACAGCTTGTATCCGCACGGACGGCGACTGCAGCGGTGCGCAAGAGTTCCCTTTGTTCTCTTTCACTCAACAAGAAAGTGGAAAATTCAACCCTTAAATACCCATTTCCAATAGTATTTTCAATACTATGTGAGTTTGAGAATTACTTACAATCATTTTTCTTATCACAAAACTATAAAACCACATCCATGCATTAAAATTCCAAAATTATTACGTTTTTAATATTCTCTTCCTTAACTTTCATTCACAATTCCTTTTGTTAGAAGAAAACTAATTAAAAACACTATTATTTTTTTAAAAGAATAATTAAACATTTAATTATAATATGTAAGAAAAAGATTTAAACTTTTTAGATCTATAACATATTTGTATTTGTTTTTCAGATACCATTTCCATTTTATATAAATAATTTGGGAGAAATTTACTTACACTAATATATAATTAGGTGAATTTTATTACATTTTATACTGTTAATATTTCAATAATGTAATTGTTAAATTTCATGTATATATTAAGTTTTAAGTAAATTGAAAACATATTATATATATATATATATATTAATCTTTAAATCAACCTAGTATAAACATTAGATTGATTCGAAAATTCATATGATATTGATAAATTTAGAGATTGAATTGTTCAAATATTAGTCTACACAAATTGAAATATTATAAATAATCATGCATTAACTCATCTCATCTAGATCACAAATTTTCAGTTGATACTCGCCAACCCTAAACATGGAAACTTTTAACAATTCGTAGATCAAAGATAGGTAGATCTTAGCAAGATCATGAATCAATACATAGATATTGCAATTCAAAATCCAAAAAGGGAAGAACAAACTGGGAATAATATCATTGAAAAGAAAGTGATAAACAAAAATAATAATACTAACCAGAAGGAAAGCGAGGAACTCTCAAACGCAGCGAGAAAAGAACAGACAAAGAAATGAATAATGATTTTTTTTTTCAAGTCGGAACAGCCATTGGAGACATGGGATGATGGTATCTCCTGTAGTGCTGTTGATGATCGGCAGAAGATCGTTGCCGGCGATGGCAAAACAATCGCAAGCTCGAGAATCTGATGGCTGACGTTAGAACCGAAGCTAAATCCATGAGCAGCCGTGAAAGCTCTTGGAAAACGCTTAAGCTCTTTCTCAACATGAAACCCATCACTATAGAAATTGCACTGTGCTCCAATCTAGGCATTTTTTTGGATCTGGCGACGCGAACAAATATACTCTTGTATACATGTATGTATGCATATATATACAAATAAAATGATGTAATTATAACATTTGCTGTCATTCTTATTAAACATGTTTTTTTCTTGCAATTACTATACCACCCCTCTCTTGCTTTGAGTTCGTTGCTCAATCTTACTATTTTGTTTACCTGAATCCTCCGTAGTTATTATGGATGGGCATGAGACCCAAACCCGATAGGTTTCGATCAGATCTGATAGGGTCGGTTTTTTTTTTAAAATTCAGGTTCAGGTATGGTCGGGTCGTTTTTTAAATATGATGTTCGGATCGGTTCGGGTTTAAGTTTATGGTGAAAAATACCCGACCCAAAAAATATATAATTTTACTTTATATATTTAGGAATGATTACAATAATACCTCTTTATATATTATTTTTTTCAATTAAGTCATTGTTTTTATTGAATAAAAAATATTTTTATTATTATTTTGGGTCGGGTTTTTTGAGTTATATATCGGGTCGGGTTCAGGTAGGGTGAAATCTTGTTTTGGTCAGGTTGGGTCTGATCTCGGGTGGAGGATTCCTTGTTATCGGGTCAGGTAGGGTGGACCAAAAATCCGACCCAACCCGACCCATGTCCATCCCTGGTAGTTATTGGGAGTATTCTTATTTTTTAAATCCTAGGTTCGAACAATTGATTTATGTTCGTAGAGTGTTTAAGAAAAATTATGAATAATTGATATTTTAACATTATAAATATATATAATTTTTAAAGTCATTATGTATATACATTGTGTGAACTTAGTCCCTCACCTCAAATTGGATAAGACTACAAAAGTGAACAAATTCTTTGCTTATGTATTTAATATAGTTATATTTTTAAGATTAAAATCTCTTATCATTGGATTTAAACACTTTTTATTATTACTTAATACTAATTATTTTTTAATGATATATATCTATTGAAATTGTGTAAAATTTTTAAATTTTATTCATTTTTTTAAATCATTTGATTAACTAAGTTTAATGGTTGTGATTAAATTCTTTAAATTGATCATAATTTAATTTTTTTTTATAAAAATCTTATTATTTTTTTCTGTTAACCACAGTAATCTACGTTTACTTTTTCAACTGTTAAATAAAATACATCAATGGATCTTATATATCCATCTCTCTCTCTCTATATATATAATGTGTTTTTTTGTAAAGAAAAGAAGATAAATGGGGATGTGGGGGGCAGAAAGTAATTTCACACGGGATGTAAGAAAGAGTGGTGATAAAAAGTACATGAGGACATGATGGGCTCATTTGAAGGTGCGGCGGCTAAATTTAAACCGTCCGTACGCTCAATCAAATGGGTTTTGTTCTAAGAATGTCGACACTCTTTCGAGACATCGATCCAAGAGTAATTAGAAATGCATTTTGCATCTTCAACCAAAATTAAATATGATATTAATGTATTATTATATAAGATGTGATTTTAAAAATTAATTAAAACATTATATGAGATGAAAAAATAATAAAAACTAATCGATTAAATACTAATCTAAGGTTAAAGAAATGGTGATAAAAATATTTTAGGGTAAACTATATCTATAACCAATTAATTATTGTTTATTTTTATTTTGACCATTAATTTTTTAATTTTATCAATCAAATCACCTAATTATTTAAATATTATAATCAAGTTATTGAACAATAATAGTTAACATAGTTAATGATTAATTCGTTATATACCTTGTTTAAAGCAACTGCAGGGGACTCAATGTTGTAGCCTCTCCTCGCAAAAACACCAGTGATTCTATTAATCATTCCGCTTTCGTCGCCGACAAACATGGAAATTGAGAGTCGTCTCACTCGATCGGGTGGGAGTGGAAGGAAGAGAGGTTTAGAAGGAAAACTGTTGTTAGAGATCTTTTCATCGACACTCCTAGGAGACGGCACGAGTTTGTTCGAGAAACGGCTCAAGGGTGTTCTAATATTTGATGGGAAACAACTGAATTTCGAAGCATGGTCTGACTTTGATACAAGAATAAACAGAAGGTATAAACACTTTTATAACATAACACAATGAAAGAAAAGTTTGATATGTTTATTTATAATGTTCAACCTTTTATAGGAAAACTTTGAAACTAAAAATATCTCAAACAATCAAAAAATAAGAACTAAATGATTTCCTAAATCTGAACTATCAAAGATTACATAATCTTCTAAAACAAATAGAAAATCACAAATAACATAAAATTAAAATTCAGTCTA